GCCTCGGTGTCACAACTCGTGGTAAAGCAACAAGTATTTCAGGACATGCTATAGCCATCTGCAGTTCGAAAGGCACACAATCGTGGTCTACAGCTTTAGAGGACATTTTGAGGAAGCTTGATGCTCCCACCAACACTTGCAAACGTCTGGCTGAGATTTCGCTGGATGACGACCGCGTGAAAACTGCACATGACACTCATTCAAGTTCTGTTTGGGAGGAAGCTTACAGAGACGTACCCCTTGCCAACGTGAATCCATCAAGACGCGGTATAATTATCCAATCCTTAGTTGCTGAAGTCGATTCGATTATTAATCCTGAAGCGTTAATTGTTCAGCCCTACTTAAGTCGTTGCGCAAATGGTTCCCGCCGGAGCGCCACAACCGCCGAGCATGATTGGTCACGAAACGGCCTGCGAGTGGAATGTAAGAGCGCAGCACTAATATGGGAGACGACGGGCGCCAGATGGAAAGTCCATTTCAGCCACGTGAAAACAGATGCGTTCGATGATCTGATGCTCGCAATTTACACACCTCGTGGAGTTTATGTATACAGGCATGACAGCTCTTTCGCCTTGTCAACGAGTGGAGTTGGAACTGCAATCATGGGGCATACAATTTCAGTGGTGGCCTGTGCTAATGTTCGTTGTTGGTCGGCGGCGCTCGACATAATTCTCAACAAGTTCGAAGCTAGTGGATGTAAGTTTTTAGCCGTGGTTTATTGGGACTGTTCACACGGAGCTCATTGACGCTGTAGTTCGACAAATGTCTTCCAGAACCCAGTCGAAGGCACTTTACGATATACTTCATGAACACATATTGGAACGGAAGGGTAGCCGAATGGTGACATTTTCGTATACAATCTAAGTAGTAATAGTGGTAGTAGTAGTAGTAGTAGTAGTAGTAGTAGTAGTAGTACTAGTAGTAGTAGTAGTAGTAGTAGTAGTAGTACTAGTAGTAGTAGTAGTAGTAGTAGTAGTAGTAGTAGTAGTGGTAGTGGTAGTAGTGGTAGTAGTGGTAGTAGTAGTAGTAGCAGTAGTAGTAGTAGTAGTAGTAGTAGTGGTGATGGTGGTGGTGGTGGTGGTAAGTGGTCGTAGTAGTCGTAGTACTCGTAGTACTCGCAGAAGTCGTAGTAGTAGTAGTCGTAGTAGTACTAGTAGTAGTAGTAGTAGTAGTAGTAGTAGTAGTAGTAGTCGTAGTAGTAGTAGTAGTAGTAGTAGTAGTAGTAGTAGGTAGTAGTAGTAGTAGTAGTAGTAGTAGTAGTAGTAGTAGTAGTAGTAGTAGTAGTAGTAGTAGTAGTAGTAGTAGTAGTAGTAGTAGTAGTAGTAGTAGTAGTAGTAGTAGTAGTAGTAGTAGTAGTAGTAGTAGTAGTAGTAGTAGTAGTAGTAGTATAGTACGGTAGGTAGGTAGGTAGGTAGGTAGGTAGGTAGGTAGGTAGGTAGGTAGGTAGGTGGTAGTAGTAGTAGTAGTAGTAGTAGTCGTAGTAGTAGTAGTAGTCGTAGTAGTAGTAGTAGTAGTAGCAGTAGTAGTAGCAGTAGCAGTAGCAGCAGTAGTAGTAGTAGTAGCAGTAGTAGTAGTAGTAGTAGTCGTAGTAGTAGTAGTAGTGGTAGTAGTGGTAGTAGTGGTAGTAGTGGTTGTGTCAGTCTTGGTAGCAGTAGTAGTAGTAGTAGTAGTCGTCGTGGTCGTCGTCGTCGTAGTCGTCGTCGTAGTAGTCGTAGTCGTAGTTGTAGTAGTTGAGTAGTACTAGTAGTGGTAATAGGAGTAGTAGTAGTGGTGGTCATAGTAGTAGTAGTAGTAGTAGTAGTAGTAGTAGTAGGTAGTAGTGGTGGTAGTAGTCGTAGTAGCAGTAGATGTAGCAGTAGTGGTAGGGCCTAGCCGAAGTGGTAGTAGTCGCAGTAGTCGATGTAGTGGTAATATAGTATTGGTAGTCGTAGTCGTAGTCGTGGTACTAGTATTAGTAGCAGTAGTAGTAGCAGCAGTAGTAGTAGTAGTAGTAGTAGTCGTAGTAGCCCTAGTAGTCCTAGTAGTCGTCGTAGTAACAGACGTAATACAGTAGTAGTAGTAGTAGTAGTAGTAGTAGCATTAGTAGTATTAGTAGTAGTAGTAGTAGTAGTAGTAGTAGTAGTAGTAGTAGTAGTAGTAGAAGTAGTAGTAGTAGTAGTAGTAGTAGTCGTAGTAGTAGTAGTAGTAGCAGTAGTAGCAGTGGTAGTCTTAGTGCCACTAGCTGTTGTAGTATCAGCCGAAGTAGTACTAGTAGTAGTAGTAGTAGTAGTAGTAGTAGTTTTAGTAGTAATATATGTAGGTAGTAGTGGTGGTAGTAGTATTATTAGTAGTAGTAGTAGTAGTAGTAGTGGTGGTAGTGGATGTAGCAGTTCTGGTAGTGCCTAGCAGAAGTGGTAGTAGTCGCAGTAGTCGAAGAAGCGGTGGTATAGTATTGGTAGCCGTAGTCGTAGTCGTGGTACTAGTATTGGTAGCAGTAGTAGTAGCATTAGTAGTAGTAGTAGTAGTAGTCGTAGTAGTCCTAGTAGTCCTAGTAGTCGTAGTAGTAGTAGACGCAATACAGTAGTAGTAGTATTATTATTAGTAGTAGTAGTAGCAGTAGTAGCAGTGGTAGTCTTAGTGCCGCTTTGCGAAACACTATGCGGGAGGCGTTCCCCCTCCATTTGTTTTCCATGACGGGTCCGTTCGTGCCCGCAGCGCTTGTTAGTGTTGCCTCGACATTCCCTGCCCTTCTCTTCTTATTCGACCTCAATAGACCGACGCGAGCCCAGCGCCGCGTGATACACGCGCAGGCCACAACTCCCACTCGACATGTTTCGGTTTCTCGGTGTATCTTTTGTTCGTTTGCTGTTGCCGCGTTGTAGCGCCTTCGTAATTTTGCCGTTCGGGCTGGATTCGTTTCCAAATCATGCTGGTTTTTGTGTCAATGCGTGTGTGTGTGTGCGCGCGTGTGTGTGCCATCGTTCGTGCGTGACTGCGTTTCTGCGCGCGCGTGCTTCAGAACCTGGTGCGGCTCCGCAACCACATTTAGGCGCTATCGTGTATTGGTGGGGGCGGAAGAAGAATAGCACCACCATGTACCAAGCCAGTTCCAGATTCCATCTTCAAGGTATGAGTTGTGGAGGTGGATGTAGGATAAACATCGCTGTGTCAGGGATGACAGAAAAAGAGAGAGAGAGAGCGAGAGAAAGAGAGAGAAAGAGAGAGAGAGATAGAACGATCAGTCGCCGAGACGTACTCAACCCTTTCCTTTGTCCACGCGTAGTTACCTGGTCGCTCCATAGAAAAGATATATTGCCAGATATGCAAGATCTGTTGCCCTCACTTCAGCCGTGCCTCCCAGGAACCAAAGTAGCGACAATTGCGCACTTCGTATCGTAGCCTCCCAGGGAGCCGCGAGGTCTCGGCTGAATCCGCGTGGCCCCCGACTCCGCTGGACCTCCCAGGAGTCAACGAAAGAGGGGACAATTGCGCAGTTCTCAGCACACCAGGGAGCAGCGAGGTCTCAAATGAGTGCGCGTGGCACCCGAGTCTGCTAGACCTCGCAGGAGCCCACAAAAGTGGTGACACTTGCGCAGTTCGCAGCCCCCTATGGAGCTACGAGGTCCGGTTTGCGTCCGCGTACTCCGCGACTTCGCCGTGCCCTCCAGGAGCCCACGAAAGCGGTGTCACTTGCGCAGTTCGCAGATCCCCACGGAGTTGCAAGGTCCCGCTTGGGTGCGCGTACTCCACGATTCCGCCGTGTCCCCCAGGAGCCATGAAAGCAGTGTTAATTGCGCGGTCCGCAGCCCCCTAGGGAGCTGCGAGGATCCGCTTGGGTCCGCGTATTCCGCGACTCTGCCGGCTTGCCAACGTGGCGGCAGTGTTCGCAAATTCGCATCGTGCCGCATGCCCCGGATTTTGCCTCTCGCCGCGAGACCGTTGTCGCGCGGCCGCGACCGGAAAAGTATTCCGCGACTCTGCCGTGACCCCCAGAAACCCACGAAAGTGGCGACAATTGTGCAGTTCGCAGTCCCTCAGGGAGCAGCGAGGTCTACATTTTTGGTGCGCATTGCCTCCGAATTTCTTGGACCTCGCAGGAGCCCACAACAGTTGTGACAGTTGCACAGTCCGCACCCCCATAGGGAGCTGCTTTGGGTCCGCGTACTCCGCGACTTCGTCGTGCCCTCCCAGAACCTACGAAAATGGCGACAATTGCGCAGTTCGCAGCTGCCCAGGGACTTGCAAGGTCCTGCTTGGGTGCACGTATTCCGCGACTCCGCCGTGGGCCTCCAAGGAGCCCACGAAAGCGGTGTCACCTGCGCAGTTCGCAGCCCCCAGGGTAGCTGCGAGGTCCCGCCTGGGTCCGCGTACTCCGCGAATCCGCCGTGCATCCCAGGAGCCCACAAAATTTGCGACAGTTGCGCAGTTCAAATCCGCCTACTTAGCTGCGAGGTCTCGGCTACTCCGCGACTCCGCCGTGCCTCCCAGGAGCTCACAAAAGCGGTGTTAATTGCGCAGTTCGCAGCCCTTTCGGAGCTGCGAGGTCCCGCCTGGGTCCACGTACTCCGCGACTCCGGCGTGCCTCCCAGGAGCCCACGAAAGTGGCGACAGTTGCGCAGTTCGCAGCCGTCCAGGGAGTAGCGCAGGAGAAGGCAGGAGGAGGGAGGGAGGAGCGGAGGAGGTGGAGTCAAGAGTGATTTATTCAAAACGAGCAACCAACACAGGAAGGCTGAGAAACAACGAGAGTGGTGGAGGTGCGCTTGTAACAATCTAGGCGGAGAGTTTGTGGCTGCCTGCGGTTCATGTTACCTGCGTGCGTTTATGTGTGTGGATCTATGTTTTTCTGTGTGCGCGTGTCTGTGCTTCTGTTTGTGTGTGTGTGTGCGTGTGGGTGTGATTATGGTTTGTGCTTTATGCGGAACGCACGGGCGTGCGCGTGCGAGTGTGCGTGTGACAGTGTGACACTCATGTGGCTCTTCTGCTTCATCCGTCTACCTGGTAAGTTTCCGCCAGCCTGCCAGGATGTGGCGCGACGCGATCCGCGCAGAGGAGGACCGACGACGTGTTCCTGTCCTTCCACTGCTATGCTCTCTTTGCCTCCATTGGCGATTTTCGTAGTATTTTATTGTTGGTGTGTTTTTGCACGTGCTGGGCAGGATGCGTATCACGTAGGGCTCGGCCTCCTAGATGGGGTCAGAGTCGATCGGGTCGGAGGCTCGCGCCGCATCGCTGATACATCGGCGTTGCGGCTCGACGTGGATCCCGATTTTCTCCAAGCCGGCAGCGCCGGTGCATCGCCGACGTCGACGATGCATCGTGGATGCATCGGCGATGCATTGGCGATGTATGGCCGATGCGGCGCTATCCCCCGACCCCATCTATCCAGACCCAATATACGGGGCCTCCTCCCTAGTGGGAAGACTGCATGATTGAGCATCAGCGTGGAAGCGCAACATCAACAGCACATCGCTTACGTGCGCACCCACCACGTTGATATGTGATAGTTTGTGTCCAGCTGGAGTGTTTTTCAGAATGTCTACAACAGGAGTGAATTAAGCAGGGTAGGCGCGTAGACGTTTCACAGTCGAGTGTTCACTAGCAATACCTGAGCAGACCATGTATGTTGGTATCCCGCGTGGCAGATTGCGATGGCCTCGTCTGAACAATGTACATACGCAGCTATCTTGTCCCACCGGGCACCCGCCCTCAGGAGTTGTGGGCCGCAGTGGAGATTCAGCGTTGCTGGCGAGGATACTGCGGGCGCTTGAAGTGGCTCCATCGGGACGCGCATCGAATGTTGTCATAGCCCCGTCCGCCGAGCGATAGCCACATGGTTGGTGTTGGGAGGCCGTCGCCACGATCACCAGTCAGTCCAGTTCTCTTCTCCCATCCCCGCTCCTGACTCCGAGGCTTACGGTCCTCTTCGATGAGGTTGCCCTTTCAGGATCGCAGGTCCTTCTCGACGCCAGACTCTATGCGAATTGGTAGGGATCCAACGCACCGGACAGGGATTGGAGGGAGGGGCAGAGCTGGCCAGGATGTCAGCCAAGGCGGGAGCGCACCGGGCCTGCCTTCGCCTCCTCTCCCTCCGTTCCCCTCGGGGTGCGGGTCGAAGAGGGCAGTTGGCACAGTTGGTTCGGGGGTGAAGACAGCCCGAGCTTTGGAGGGCGACGACGACCCGAGCTCTGGAGGGGGTGCCTTTGAGGGTGAAGCCAACCCGAGCTCTGGAGGGGTGCCCTTGGAATCTGCTTGCTCGGTCTCTCTCTCTCTACCTTGGGCAGGTGCTCCGTTTGGGGGTACCTTTCGTGAGGCCTCGAGGCGCCAGCGACGGGGGTCTTGGTTCGTGACCCGAGCGCCGTTTATTTGTCGACTGCAAGTGGTGTGTTGGATTGGTGGGTTTGACGCGGAGTTGTTGCCCCAGCAGTGCTTGCTAGGGCTTCTTGCTCCTCGTTCCAGAGGAACTGGGTGGGTCCGCCGAGGTTTCGCCTGGAGGCGGAGGGGAGCGGGTGCGGAGGTGTCTGTCCGTTTCTGGGGCTGCTCTCTGCGGTCTGCGGCTGTCGCTGGGGAAGTCCGCAGCAGGTGGCTGGAGACGTGTTGAGGGGTGCGCGATGCGGGGAGGGGGCGGCCAGGAGGGGTCGGCCGGAGGCGGGAGTCTTGCCTCTCAGCGTTCCTGTTGGCATCATCGCTTCGGATCGATGGAGCGATGTGTGATTCTCTGCACATGGTCAGATGAGCAGCGCAACAAAGCGGGTTCGACAGCGCCGACATTCGCGCGTGAGTTTCCCGCGTAAGGTCGCGCGTAAGCGCCCTCGTCTTCCATGCAGCGTGCCACGCTGGTGGCCCGCGCAAGCTGCCGTGTAGGGTTGCTGCGCCACCTCGCGCAATTGATCGTCTCGCAGATGTGTTTTGCTCCTGCGCACGGAGCCGTTGTGCAGTGCCAGGGGGGGGGGGGCGCGTGCTCTCTCGGTCTGCATACGCCTCCACTCGCTCTGCACGGAGGGATTCTCTGGGGAGGGGGCCTGCGGCGGGCAGGTGGGAGATGGAGTACGAGACCGTGTGGAGCCGGGAGGCCCCGTGGCCTCTCGAGCGTGCAGCCGTTGGCCCTCCTCCCTTCTGCCTCCTGCCCCCATCGCGCCGTCCCGGCCGAGGGCCGAGGGATGACCCCCGGGCCCCCAAGCCCTGCGCGTCGAAGCCTCGGCATAGAGGCGGCAGCTGGTGTCGCCATACAGTCAACCCGCATAGGAAGGATGGGCAACCTTCCCAAGGTACCCTTGCATCCTTGCCCCTTCGGCCCGCCCTTGGCGACTTTCGCTGGCCAACCGCGTTCGAAAACGTCAACACGGCCTTCCAATGACCAAGGTCCTTGCATAATCACCGCGCATCCTCATGATGCGGGTTGACTGTGCCCCCTCGCTGTGCGCAGGCTGCTGCCTGCCTCCTCGGCCCAAGGGCAACCCCCCCTGCACCTCGGCGCGCTCCAGGTGCCCTGCCTCCTCTCGCTGTCCGCGTGCCTGGTTGGTTCTAGCTGTGCTGGTTCGGCTGCGAGCGCGCTCGGCAGGCTTCCCCCCGAGCGAGGTCGTGACGAAAACACGTGATGGGCAAATTTTCCACTACCATTACCACATGTAGGACAGGGGAGAAGGGAGGATGAGGAGGTCCTCCTCCTCCTCCTCCTTCCTCTCCTGCATATGGTTGTGGTGGTGGAAAATGGGTACATCAACACGTGGTGAACTTGTTTCAGTGGGGGCCCATATTAAACAACCCGACTTGCATCCTCAGGCTACCGCGGGTTTCTGTGTGTTCGCGCGCCGCGCGGCGACTTCCGACGGACGTTCAGAGATTGCTGCGTTCAGGATACCCTGGGGCAACCCGCCAATTGCACCAGCCGGCTTGTCGAACGACCTGGGGCTTCTTCCGATGACCGTTGACCTGTTTCTGGAGTTTACCGGGGCGATTTCGGAAAGAACCTCTTTGGGTCAGGCTCCTCTGGGCTTTCCTGCTCGGGGCCTCTCGCTAACAATCCCAGGCCTCGGGCAAGGACATCAGCGGATCTTCAGGGTGGGGCCGCTTCTGGTGCTCGGTCCTGCAGCCCTCGCGGCGCGCAGCCATCCGGCTGTCGCGCTGGAGACCGCCAGAGGCCGTCCGCAGACCGCCGACGACCGCGCGAGGCCGAGGAGCACCAAAGGGCCAATGACGGACGACTCGCGGTGGGGGCGCGCATCAAGACACCAGGTGCCATTCGTCGGGGCTCCCCTGGGTGTCTTCGCCCGCCGCGCGCTGCGCGGTGACTTCCCGTGGGCGAGAAGAGGCTGCTGCATTCGGGATGCCAATGATTCCCCCGCAATTTCCACCACGACTACCATAGGTAGGAGAGGGAGGATGAGGAGGAGGAGGAGGAGGAGGAGGAGGAGGAGGAGGAGGAAGACGAGGAGGAGAAGGAGGAGGAGGAGGAGGAAGGAGGAGGAGGAGGAGGAGAAGGACCTCCCCATCCTCCCTTCTCCCCCGTCCTACCTACGGGAGTGGTGGTGGAACATTGGACCATCAATTTCACCTCGCACGCGGATTTGCAGGGCTGGGGGGTTCTTGCGACAGTCGTCGTCGGCCGTGTCCGAGCGCTGGGTGCCCTGCGAGGTCGGGGACCGAGTTCTGGCCACCGCCCCCAAGAAGCGTACCTCGTGCTGGACCAGCATGTGCGCGGGGTTGGTGTGCAAACGTCGTGCCCCTAGGGTTAAGTCGGGCGTGTCCATCTACAGGAGGCTTATTCAAACATAGTCAATCGTTTGGGGACGATTTTTGATAGTATTTGTTTGACAATTTTTGGCTATGTTTGATTATCTTTTATTTGTCGTCCAGAATTTCCTTGTAGGAGGACATGCCCGACCAGACCCTAGGGCAGGCCAGTTTTGTACACAACCCCCGCCCCGCGGCCTTGTGCCGGGCCAGTCTGTCTGCGGGGGCTGTGTGCAGGCTGGATTTCCAAGGAGGTTCCCGCGGCCTGCTTGGCCCCATGGGCTCCATCACGGAGCGATCCGTGGGCCAGTGGTACCCTCAGCAGCCCCGAAACATCGTGCCCCCACGAGTCGGCGACAAGCCAGACGTGGGATGTTAGCAGGAGAAGGCCTCCTCGGAGGGCGGCGGGGCTTCTCGGACGCCCGCCGGCCTTCCGAGAAGTGCTCTGTGCCCTCGGGCAGGATCAGACAACTTCTCGGAAGGCGGGGGGACTTCCGAGCCTTCTGCGAAGGCCCGTCCCTCTCATTTCCGCCCCCCAGGGGCTCGCCGCCGAACGTAACCGCCCACCAAGCCACCCCAACCCAACCCACAAGCCCCGATTTGCCCTCCATTCCCAGTTCGGGAGGGGTGGTCGGGGAACATTCTGGCAAAACGCGCATGAAGCTCGTCGCCCCCCCCCCCCCAAACACGAAATTCGGGCCTCTGGGCTGGGTTGGGGTGGTCTGGTAGGTAGTCAGAGCACGGGTCTCCTGCGGCCGCGCCTGCATTGCAGGGCCCTCGGGCCGAACGAAAGGGGGGGGAAGGGAAAGGGGGTGGCTACGAAATCTGCTGCATGCACCCCCAGATCATCTGGGACTGGCTTAACTCGGTAACGGATTTCTGGGTTGTCGATTTCAGGTCGCGACCGGCTCCCGGTTGTGACGCCATCTCGAAGTAATTGAAAAACGCCCCTGCTCATTATCTCTGAATTTCGGTATTGGCAACCCGAATTTCGGTATCGATTGCGACGCAGAGTTCGGCATCGTCGAACGCGAAATTCGGTAACGAACCAGGCGCGGATTTCGGCATTCCTGCTGCCAAATTTCGGTAACGACGGCGCAGGATTTCGGTAGCGACGAGACGCCGAAATCCAGTATCGCTGAACGCGAATCCAGTAACGAATTATCGGGATTTGCACGCTGATTCAACTGTGCACGCGTGACTCCTGCTACCAGAATCAATCCCTGGATTTCAGTATTCCAGTAACGACCGGCTCTGCTACCTCGCTACCTGCTTTGGGCGGTCGCAGATGATCTGGGCCTGGTTTCGGCCCCCCCGCCGGGCCCACTCCTCGATACTTGGGCGCCTCCCGGCGCTGGGAGGCGCTGGGAAAACCAGCCATGTGAGCTGATCCTCTACCCTTCCCTCTTTGCTGT